TACCCCATTCTGACTGTAAACGCATGATCATGCCAGACGGCATGCCACCCACAAGTTGGGAATAAACATTATTATTATTATTATTATTAGTCATGAGACTTGGCTGGTAGACCTGCTTGAGGCCTCATACTCAGCGATGCACATGGACTCAGACCTAGCAATTAGGATAAGTAGCCAAGGTAGACGATACCGGCTACAGTTACGAATATGACGGGCCATTGCTGGCAGTATGATTAGGACACTGGGCATGGTTGATGCATGATAACCAGCGTTGCACATGGGCACAGGCCTAGCAGATTTAAAAAGTAGTCAAGGTGGGCGATATCGCGTACGGTTGAGTATGAGGTCCGTCGTTCGCCATTGGATTAGGTACGTGTGCATGGTTTAGGCCTCTTATTCGTTGGTTCGCATAAATACTTGCCCAGTGTCTATCATAAGTACTAAAGATAAGTGGCAACGCGTACAGTTACGAGTACGACAGATTATGGGTGATTAGGTTACCGGTTAATCAACTCCACACATGGACACGGATCTAGCGTGCACGATAAGAAGCCAAATAAGGCGACATTGAGTATAGCATTGAGTATGACATGCCATCAGGTTAAGCTCTCACGTATGCCTAAGGCCCTATTTTTACCGGCCCGAATGGATACTGGCCTGGTGTTTGCTATAGGTAGTGAAGGTAATCGGCATCACATGTAGTTATTGGCGGCCACTGGATCAGGTTGGTGCGCATAGGTGATGCCTCATAGTCAGCGTCACACAGACGCTGGCTTAGCGATTACAACAAGCATTCGAGATGAGCGATGACACGGAGAGCTATGAGTCTAAAAACGTTGTTGGTCATTGGATTAGGCTATCGTGCTTAGGTGAGTCCTCATGATCAGCGTCGCACATAAACATGGACCCAATAGTCACGATTAGTAGTCCAGATGAATGAAAACAGCTGCCATTATCACGGTGACTGCTTTATGGCGGTCACCACATATAAAGCGCCATATTCGTAATAGGAATGATACCAATATTTTGGTAATTAACCTTCAGCTATCTCTTGACGCTGAGGCTAATTATTCATATCTCAGAAAGAGGGTCATTCACAGAGGTAACCCTCGCACAGCTACTCCACAGTTCATGTTGTTGTACAACAACGACGTACTTTTGCTCCATGGAAAAATGAATTATGACCAGGTCCGCAGAACAAAATCCCATCATTTGTTAATTCTGAGGAGAGTAAGGTAAATAAACTTTAATGACCGATCGTCCGAGGTGCAATTTACATTAGATATTCTTTAGAGGTTGCTAGTTCTTAATGAGCACCGAGGAACGCCAAAATATTCTGAAGTGCGATCTCGTGTTTTATTTCGCGTGAACCGGTCACGAGATGCAAATCGGTGATGTTCAGTGAGCTTGATATTTCACTCGCCCAAACAAAACGCTACGAGCAACATGTCACTGGAAGGTGCAAATGGACTGAACAAAATCCCCGTTCAAATCTCAACTTCGAAAAATTTGTAGTTCCGGTGGGAATAATTTAGGCGTGCTTCCAGGCAGCAGCTAGATTCAGGAGCGTATTAACCGCACGATTCTATCAGCTGCAAAACCTTTACGAGTGGAGTAAAACTTTTTACGCCAAAATTGTTGCACTTTGTTGCGTATAAACTCAGGCCAAAACCCATTCTAATTGGCTTTGATATTTTAGTGGCGCGCCTAATTTCGCTGTCCACTGAAGCAACCATACCTCTGGCGGAAACGTCTAGCGGAATAAATTACCAGCATTGCTGCGTGGAATGATTTTCATCCTCTAGCCGACTTAGGAATTTATTAGCGTGTTGGAACAAATAAACGAGCAAAGTAACAAAATCACAATAAGAAAAGAATAAGCTTTCGATAGGGACACACGAATGCGTAGATCCAATAGTCCACTACACCGATTTTAATGCAGCAACTGGCTGTGAAGAAAATAGCCACTTGCAGAAATTTTCCACAGATGATATGCTTGTGAGCAGTATATTCCAGATTAGAAAAGTTATTCACAGCTAAACAAATGTCACAGGTTGTTATTGTGACGTTCAACAGCTCACATAAACAGAGAGATATAGTCCCAATGGTTCAGCGGTCAGCAAGCAGTTCAACGAAGCGTAAATCCACTGATACAGGAAGAAATCAGAAAAGCGCGCCGAAAAAATTTATGTACTGGTACCACTATTCTTCTGACGTAATTATTAGTACAGTAAAATAAACGTCATTATAAAATATGTACAGCGTAGTGGTCTGGTTACCCAATGAGTTAGTTTACCAGGAGTGTGTGGCAAAGAAATAAAATGATTACGCTAGGTTGGGTATAGAAAAATAAAGAGACCAGACGGAACAGACGCACTAACACTTGTTCTCTTTAAAATAGTTCGTCGTTGGCCCAGGTCAGCGAATGAACAATAATCCAATTATGTTGGTCCAGAGGTCTT